CAGATATAAAAAAAACTTGACACAGCAAATGTTGTCACCTAGACTAGACTGCCTTTGTTGTATGCCTCAAGATATGTGTTACTGCCACTCAATGAAGATTTTTTTCTGTTCTACTCCCTTCCTCTTTGTTTGGCTGGATAGGATACAATGTAACCCCTGATGTCGACTACGTTATTTAATGTTAAAAAAAATAATAAAAAAGAGAGAAAAATGAGGAAGAAAATACTAAAATTTACAATTAAAAAAATCAAATATAAATAAAAATAAAATGTATAAAAAGCAGAAAACAGTTTGAGACAATTATCAACTGAAGACTAATGATTATACATCACCAGAAGTCCATTACTGAACAACCCTCTATATAGTAAGGCGATCACGATGTCCCCGTACTTCCAACTGTGATTGAAACGGGATTTGATAGAGATTTCTATTAATAGTAACAAAAATCAATGGCCAGAGATGTTTCAATGCATTCTGGGTAGAGATAAGTTATGCAAAACTCCCTTTAACTCAATTAGCACACAGTTTAAAATAATATTTGACCATTGACGTGTTAATGAATAGCAGATCCTAGATACCATATTATAACAGTGTCATTAGCCATGGTGATGGTTTTAATGTTAAACTATAACAATGTTGGTATTATTTATAAATTAAAAACTACAATTATAATTGTCGGAATAAAAAAAATCTTACTTCTTTATACAATTCCCATTTTGTTCGAAAAATTTGCCATCAAAAAGTTAGGTCGGAAAATAGTGCATCCATATACATGTACAGTACAAGTAACCCTAATTTATGAATGAGTTGAAAGGAAAAAAACATCACATCATATTTATTTTAAGTGTGTATTTTACGTTTTACAAATTTAAGGAAATAAGAGTTTTTGTTTTAAAATTGAACGGGAATTCTGCAGATATACAAAAATAAAATTGAGAATGGAAATTATGGAATTTGTGAAAGAGACAAAAACCCGACCAAAGAGCAGAAAACAGCCTAAGGCCACCAATGGGTCTTCAAAACAGCGAGCTTCAGCTGGCCCCTAAACAAAAATGTGTACTAGTTCAGTGAAAATGGCAGTCACACTAAACTCAGAAACATTCAAATGAACTAAAATAAAAAAAAAACATACAAGACTAACAAAGGCCAGAGTCTCCTGACTTGGGACAGGCGCAAAAATGCGGCAGGGTTCAATATGTTTAGTTTAGGTTAAACATATTCATTTTTAGCAAAATTAGCAAATTCTACTCTCCATTTTGAAAAAAAAAAGAGAAAACATTAATACTATGCCATTTCTTCAAATATCTTTAATCCTACGTAAGATCTTGACGGTAATTCTACCTAGGATAATTGTGTGGATTGACAAAGGTTGTAATTTCAGTCGGATCCGTTAAAATACATGTTAAAAAAACAACACGTGTGTTTGACATATACATGTTATAGATTTAAATTGTAGGAAAAGTTGCAATCACGATCTTTGTAAACAAATACGTATTGAATATATTATGTTTATGTAAGTATACTTCACACTTGATTATGATAAAGTCTTACTGTAGGACAATTTGATTTAGTTTGTTCGAGTACTAATTAATTTCAAGGGTTGAGTTGGGTATAGAAATATGGTAACCCCTGGAATTGTCCGGTTCATACAGTGAACCCCTTTCTTACAAGCGTGTGATGTATAAATTAGCAGCCATGTCAGGTTGGAGGAGAGACATTAAATCCAGAACCTCGCGTATTCAGGATGAATGTTACGCTCGCTGCATGTTAAATAACACGTGCGACAACTCTTTGGTTGGATATGCATTGAATATTTTCCCCTGACCGTTAAGCAAACAACACATGATAAATCAAAACATAAATCCGAATGACATGCAGGCCTGAGGTGTCTTCAATCTTGTGTTGATAAAACGACATAAAAAACAGTTAATAATTATAGACGTTGCATTGATGCCTCCCGCACATCTCATGGGGGAGAGGATAATGACGGATAGACAGAAAAAAGTATATGTCTCTTACTTTAAAATAGATTGAAAACAAGAGAATTTTGAAATTCGAAATTGTTTTCAATCAATCTGCAGCAAGAAATATTCGGTTATTTTTGACAGATGTATTTGTGTACTAGCGAAGAAAAAACCTGTCTTTCGCTTATACATCACGGTATGAAGCTAGCTTCTTTGATGCCGTAAATATTAAACCGAGACATAATTCGTCAACACAACGTTCTATTTAAAAATGGAAGCAATTATGACTTCTAGAAAAAAAAACCCGGGCGAGCCCGGCTTGAAGACTACTTGAAATGTTTATGGTGATACACAGCTTGGGTTCGTGTTTCTCAAACTGTTTTTATGCACTGATGCATTATAATGATTTTTAGTTTGTAGTATTTTTTTTTTTTTTTGCAAAAGGTGCGAGTCAAGTTCTGTCTCTGTGTGTTACGGGTGCTCCAAGAACGGAGGAAATAACTCAGAGAAGAAGAAGACAATCTAGAGCTCTCTGATGATTAAAAACATTTCTTCAGTGGTGCAAGTTTCCAGTTTTTTTTTTCGAGTGGTGCGAGTTCTCTCTGTGTGACACGGGTGCTCCGAGAAAGGAGGAATTTACTAAAAAAAGAAGAAAACAATCTAATGATTTAACACATTTTTCGAGTTTGTTATATTTCTTTTTTTTTTTGATAAAGTGATGCAAATTGTAATAATTAGTGAGAGTGTTTGATTGAAACGAGTTGGCCGTGGGTCGAATTGTCCGGTAGTACGTCAACTGAGCATGCGCGAGAGCGTATAAGACATAGATCGATAACGGTCTCCGAATTGGAATAATTTCTTAAAAATTGGCGTTTTCTGTGGAAAACAAATTGTTTCAAAGACAAATTTTGGAAGTACAAAACACTACATTTATACGTCATATCACAAATATTTACGACTTTGTATGGTTTCAGAGGAGTTGCGGCTCAATGAAATCGGTCTCTTTGTTTATTAGTATAGATATTTTGACAAAAGGAACTATATCTTTTAAATACACGATACATTTTTAGTCACGGCAGATTTAATAATATAGTTTTTATAGTTTTCATTTGGCTCATGCGCAATTTAATGATAAGTCGTACCAATGTATTCTTTTAAAAAAATTATTTCATTTTGTAAATGTTGAAAATGAAGTTTTAAATACATGGCAATAAGAAACTACCGCACTTAGTTGGCTCATTTTATTTTCAACAAACCGATAATTAATCAAACACTCAAGGATATTTATCTATTTGATGATAATATTTCTACCCATGATTCCAGAGTTGAAAAACGAGATTTGGTATGACCACATATAGCGCTTTCCACTGATAACGGGACAGTGTGATCGCCTAGCTATATAGTACAGCTTGCACACTTCCCCTAGTAATGGACTTCGTAAGTTGAGCTATTAGCCTCCCCCCACCCCCCACCCCCACCCCCCTTTTTTTTTCTCTCCACGTTAGACGAATTCCAAAAACAAATCGACATGTATTTACTATCAAAAAAGGCCACTATAAGTTAATGAGGTATGGACTATTTGTAAATAAATTCCTATTGCAGCCAACATTTCCCGGTTTCGGAGAGGTTTGTATTTCCACTCAAATACCGTCTGATAATTGGTCGGAGAAAATCAACCAAAAGCACTATGATTTTGAAATAGTAAATTATGGTATTTCGCTGGCTGTTTTTTTTTAACCGATTCTATTTTGGGCCCCCTGATTCTAAGGAGACGTGTTTAATTAGTCATGCCCGATTAACGTTTAGTAAATCCAGGTATCTTAGATAATTTTTTTGCGTTGAATAACAATGAAAAATGCACGAACAGGTTTGTAAGTAAATATAATAGATCAGCATGTTATTCATTTAACACATCCAATATATAATGCTGATATAAAGCTATTATATAAATTTCATGACAATGCAACGAGAAATGTAGGCGTGAGAGTGCTTAAAATGCAAATTTCATTCAATAATTGATCGCCTCTGATTTTCAAACTTGTCCCACACATTGCCTATATAAACCGTTAATATATATTTAAAAAAATCTGTCAAAAATTGACATTTGAGAGCGGTTCCTATGCATAATTATTTCTGTGATTGTATCCTATATTGATTTGTAAGATCTTCTATGATAGATGAATTAGCTGATCTGTAATATTCCATCTGCATGCCTTATATATCATGGATTGTGTTACGACGCTAGATAAAAACTGACGAGGAAAGGTAACACCCGGCCACCGAAAGCTTGATTTTTATCGAGCCTAGGTGGTCGAGTGGTCTAGCGCGCCGGGCATAGTGCAAATTTACAGATCTATAACATTGTTGGACTGTTATTTAGACGAATAATATTTATATGTAATACGATATTTATCTTCTCGAGACAGTAAAATTTTCAAATATTAAACGCAAGGTAGGTGAGCGTTTTAAATATGTAAAATTCGATAGTCGAGAGTGGATAAATATCGTATTGCACAAGAATTGGTGGTGGAATATGTTTCTCTAATGAGTTTTCGACGATATACAGACAATATTGATTCATCTTTTCAAATTATCAGCAACAAGATGTGTTCTTTCTATGTGACGTCATCAGATAAAGTCGCCTTTTTTCATGAAGTTACAATAGGAAATTCTGTGGAAAACAAGAACATTTGACGTCATAATAATGGAGTAAGAAATGATTATAATTTTGTCTTCAATTTTGAATTAAAATTAAAATTGCGCTCCATAGATTTGTGATGACGATTCCAGCCCAGATTGAATCAACAACTTTAAAATTGGGACACATTCTAGTGTATCCTTAGTTTGTACAGTACCCCTTCTCCCTGTTTCCGTATCCTATCCCGACTCCCACTTCACTTCCCCTCGTTAACAGGTTTCCTTATCCTGTCAAACCTCTTAAATATATAATCACACCAAATGTGCATGTTATATTTTTTTTCGCTGCAAGTTCGGTGATTTTTTATTGTTATTGCTTTAATTGTATATTCATTACAGGACGAAACAGTAGAAATGAAAACAGAAATAATTGATAAATATGTTCCAGGCAAAGGTAAGATTAATACTATTTGCTAGAAAATGATTTGAAATCTAAATGAAGTAGCAATTTTCCTATTTAAAAAAAATAATACAAATATGTAAACGAAGAACAAAAGTCAAAAGTTATTAGACAACACATTTTATATTAATTGTGTATATAACTTTCGTGCTAAAATTGTTTTACTTTTATTATAAAAGTATTTAAACCGCCAGCACTTTTAAACTTATCTTACGCGGGAATATATGATGCCTCCACTTGATGACAAGTAAACAATAACCATTCATTCTATCTTACGATTTTTAAATTATTTTTTGTTATCTCAGATAGGTATTTGATAACGGGTGTTTGATATATTATAATGTTTTATTAGGTAACAAAAATAGAATTTGTTCTTTAACTTGCGGAGAAGTCCTGATAACTGTAGAAAAGGGAGATATAACAAAGAAAAAGGTACCAGTATAAAACATAAAAACAAAATTCAACAAAAAATAATTAAATCAACAATTTTAAAAGAAATGTACTACATGTCAACGTACAAATTTTAAATTTATTCACATTTTAAGGCAAGATCACGGCAATGTCTTGACACTTTTAAATGTCGATTGTGTCTTTGTCTACGAAAGGAAAAATGTATGCTAGTTTGGGTTTGGTTCAATACTTGTAATGCAATCATCATTCTTTGTAATCAAGAAACGTGATCGGTGATGCATTTATTGAAAACATGAGTGTGCAAATTGATTTCATCCTTTAAATGAAAACGTTTAAATCAACAAATAATTTACATTGAAAAATAATGAAATGAGAAATAAATAGATTAAGTTCACGGTATAAGTTTTCCATTTCCAGATTTGATGAAAGGATTGTTTTTTTTTCAAAGATGGTTTGAATCAGGAAGTTTAACAGTTTATTTAACAAATAATTTCATATAATGCATTATTAAGTAAACAAAATGTCGTAACTTTATAATTGATCTGTCTTCAACTATTAAGTTGTTCTTGTCGGCTTCTGTAAACATAATGCAATTGTGCGTTTTACTGTAGTTTCCTTGAATCAAAATGGAGTATGAATTTGTTTTTCAGGTAGATGTAATTGTAGTTACCGCTAGATTGGATTTAAAATTAGAAAAAGGCGTTCTTTCAAAGGCCGTTCTTTTGGCAGCGGGGAAGGACATCCAATTGGCCTGTAACAAGAAACAACCTATTCAAGGCGATGACATAATTGAGGTCAAAGCCGGTAACCTACCATGTGAAGAAGTATACTTTGCGAATCTAAAACAATGGGAGGATTACAACGATGACAGTTGTGCCAGACTTGTATGTTGTATTTAGATTTATTTGGTACATTATTTAAAATGAATAATTGGATATGGTTTTAACATTTAACTCCATAGAAAATTGTTAAAGGAGAGACAGAAACAAAATGAACTAGAATTTACAGACAATCTACATAAACAACGACAAAATCCGGAAAATTATTTGATTTTGGAGTTACAGAATGACGGTTTTTATACACAGTTTATGACCGCGCAACAAGTAAATCAAAATTATTTTAAGAGTGCAAGAAGGAAATGAACGACGGTTTTTGGACAAAGTTTATAAACTCTAAGTTTTATCAATTTTTTTTAGTCAAGAGTACTAGGAGGAAATGTATGACAAAATTTTTGACTTCATCATCTTCCTTTAAAAAAACCATAAATGATCATTAGCTGCTACAAGTCAACAAGATTAAGATATACTATTATACGTGGATTTTTTCTTATACCTCTTTTGTCAAATTGTTGATATAAAAGTCTACTACGATCGTTTTCAATAAGATTTAAATTTCTCATAGGCTTGTATGCAACATCAGGTTAAAACAAAATTAACCATCCACAACTATACGTTTTCCTTAATCCATGAACATTTTTTCCAAGCAAAAGAAGAACAAAAATCTATGTAATTTGATACGGTATCTTAACTTGTAGAGTTTCGGTCAAAGTACCTCGAAATGCAATGATACTTTTGATGGAAGTCAATCCTCAGTAATAGAAATGTTGATGTGACTTAAAAAATTACATTTCATCAATTATATTTCAACCATTTGCTTTGGATAAACGACTTTACAAAGACAGAGGTTGGAATATTTCTTTTAAGTGAATATTGTTCTACACCAAACGAATTTATGCGTTTACCTTGATACATAGCTAAATAGTAACCAAGAGAAAAAGTATAAAGAACCAATGAAATGTCATAATAAATATACCAGTAATTTACAGAAATAAAGTTACTTGAATAACGAAATGCAGTTTTCTAGAATACATTAACAACGATACAACATGAACTTTTTACATTTTTCATCCTGTAGAATTTGCAACAATTGGTATTGCAATGTTTGTTGAAGTGCGACGAGGAAAGAAAGAAAAGTATAGCGTTTCCAACACTGGGTACTGGTTCCCTTCACTTTCCGACAAATGTAATGGCAGAAAATTTAGCTACTGGCTGTATGACCTATTGCCAGAAGCACAAACCAAAGCACATTGATCGTATTTATATACTTGTGCATAATGATGAAAACAGTAGTAACAAAGGAGAAGAAGAAATTGTACGTATTTATATTGTGAGTTGTGCTTTCATAAACCGAAATATTTGATTTGGCAATGCAAAAGTATAACAGAAATACAGAACTCCAAGTTAAAGTCAAAAAGGGAAGACCATAAAAACTGACAAAATCTAACGTTATCAACCAACGGAGCGTGTGAAAAACAACGGTCATATTCTTGACTTGGTACAGGCGATTTCCGAAGAAAATGGTGCTCTAAACCTGGTTGTTTAGCTACCGAAACCTCCCACTTGTATGACAGTTGTTTATAGTTCCGTTTTTTTCTCTCCATAAAATTAGGTGAGCAACTGAAACGGACATAATAAGTTATATGACAATACTTGGAGCCAGAAGCCAAAACCATGTAAACATACATCACAACTGACTTAACATTCAATCAAATATACACATAAATCTAACAAAGACGCCGACAAAAAATTGTATAAGTTGACAGTACAATTGTTAAATACGTCGACAACAATCTTTTGTAGTGGATATTAAACCGACGAAGACCCCGATAAAAAAGTAGTTGATAGTACATACCGTATATAGTATACATTTTTTTCGGTAAAGTACAAATACAGTAAAATATAAATACAAGGATAAACAGCAATGAAGCATAACACACAGATGGATACAAAACATAACAATATTACATAGGACAGTCAAAAGTTTTTTAATTACGCTCTGCCTGTCTAAACGGAAAGGACAACCAGCAAACAGTTAAACAAAAATAAGAAAGTAGTGATTGTCCATTTGTAACTCAACGTCCAGTGGGTAAGAAGAATTGTGTAAATGGTCAAATTTATATGCATCAACTAAACAATATTCGGAAAGTAAAACGAACATCTTTATGTCATCCTATCATAATAAAACACTAGCGGATATGATGTGAACAAGTTTTGACGACTTCACATATAAGATTATAATTATTAAATGTAAAATATCTCATTAATTTCGGAAGTAAAATGTTAAAGGTCAACATTCAAAATATGTTACAATAGCCTTTGTTCTAAAAATAATACAAATGTATTAACCTCGACAGGATGTTTTGTCTCCCTCACAGTACTAGTTCTGCTGTACTTGCATAAAAAAAAACTTGATAGATGTTTTATTGCTTTAAGAAATTGAGTTTTTATTTTATCTGAATGTTAAATATTTTTTTTCAGGCATTAAAGAAAGAATTCCAAAAATTGAAAGGTAATACTTGACATAAGAGTAGCGAAACATATTACAACTACAAGGAGTATTGGAAGATATTATTTTTCTACTCAATATAGATAGTTTTTGAGTGATTTCTGGTATAGTTAAAAAAAAAAAAAATAACAAAAGTACCGAACTCCAAGAGAAATTCCAAACGGAAAGTCCTTTATAACCTGGAAAAATCAAAAGCTCAAACACATCAAACGAATGTTCAAGCCATACCTGTCTATCATTATAAGTTGTTTTGTATTCAAATTCTCGTTAGTTTTTATTACTTTTTGTACAACCAGATGGATTGTTATTCAGACAATAGGATGAATTTAAGAGATAATATAGTAAATTATTGTTTGTATTGTTAAAACATGCCCATATTTCTTTTTATGAATAGGATTAATGCAATGATCTATTTGTTTTATTAGAAATCACGAACCGCCATTAATGTTGATACAAAATAATGCAATGTTATATGCAATTAGTTATTTCAAATACCTTTGAACAAGTAACTTTTTATAAGATTTGAATAAAAGAAGGATAAAGATACTTAAACTGTTGTTTTTGTTGAATAGAAAAGAAATTATTTCTTTATTTTTTTGGAAATCATGAACAGCTTTTGAATGTTTTCTACCTTATGTTCTTGTTGAATACGAATGCAACTATTTCTTTATTTTAATTGAAATCGTGAACCGCTGTTGGATGTTATTTTTTTTTTTGTACATAATGATACGTTTTTTCTCATAAAACACAACAGACAAAACATTATCGTGTGTATAAAGCCTCTACGGTTGACCGTATTTGTCCTATTAGATTCGAAATAGTCCATGACAGCCGTATATAAAATAATCGAATATACATGCCCAACCAATGGTTAAATGAAAACAAATCTTCAGCTGCTATGAATTATTTTTTGATTCTTATTTGTAATACACTTATACTTTATTATATTGGATTTAATACAAAAGAACATCAAACAAAGTTTTACCAGTATGGATAGTCGTTTCACTTATACACCTCGTTTGTTCATTGACAACACGTGTCGTACAAACAAAACATGGATCAAGCTTCAAAATTATGTATATAAAAGTGCGTTTAAAAGGTATTGCTTCGGAAATGCATTGTACCAAACGACTGTAGCAATAATAGAAAATAAGCAGTCATTACTGATATCATTCAAAAGAACCTATAAAATATAAACAAATGATTAAAAGCCGATACTTAGAGAAACCAGTTTAAGCTATAAATCTTACCATGATATTATAAGCTTGTGGAGTTTCATGGATAACAAGATGTTCATGATATAGGAAGAACGACGAATTAGATAGAAGTTTTGAAAACATAGTAAAAAGTACATAATTATGTGCGAGTTAAAATAAAGTTACCAAAGAGGGACGAAAGATACCAGAGGGACAGTCAAACTCATAGATCGAAAACAAACTGACAACGTCATGGCCAAAAATGAAAAGACAAACAGACAAATAATAGTACAGATGACACAACATAGAAAACTAAAGACTAAGCAACACGAACCCCACCAAAAACTGGGGGTGATCTCAGGTGCTCCGGAAGGGTAAGCAGATCCTGCTCCACATGTGGCACCCGTCGTGTTGCTTATGTTATTACAAATCCGGTAAATAGTCTTATTCGGTAAGTCACATTCGTGAAAAGGGAAGGGTATTGTAGTTACGACATAAGGAAAATATCCGATATCATCTGTGAAACGGTTATTCCATAACGGTCAACCAACTCGTGATGGCGTCCGTAAAATTTACGAAGGGATGACTTCAACTTCACCATTTGGAACTCTTGGTTTAATAGCTTCCTTGTGAGCAGCAATCCTCTATCAAGGAAATCATGATAGGAAACACAAGCCCGGGAATATCGTATCAATTGGGAGATATATACTCCGTATGCAGGCGCTGCTGGAATGTTGCTACATAGAAATGGAAAGTTCACAATTGGGAAGCTGAAATCATCTCTTTTGTCGTAAAGTTTTGTTTTCAACCGACCCTCATTGTCAATTTCTAGATGTAAGTCAAGATATGAGGCAGACTTAACTGTATCTGTAGTATCCTTTATCTCTAGTTCGATGGGATAGATTCGTTCAACATAGTCACCAAATTTTGTATTATTTAGTGAGAGAACATCATCTATATAGCGGAACGTAGAGTTAAAGGATATTGCTAACTTCTTATCTCTCTTCCTAGGAAGCTCCTGTATGAAGTCAGCCTCAAAATAATAAAGAAACAAGTCGGCAAGAAGAGGGGCACAATTGGTTCCCATTGGAATTCCGACAGTCTGTTGAAAAACACTTCCTTCAAACGTAACAAATATGTTGTCAATCAAGAAATCAAGCATCTTGATAATGTCAGTTTCAGAGAATTTTTTGTTTGAATCAGAGTGATTCTTTACAAAGAAGAATTTATCCCTCCCCAAGACAAGATACTTGTATCTACGTTCGCCATTCTTTTTAATGAAACAAAGTAATACCAACTCTTTCAATTTGTCTTTTAGTTTGGAATGGGGAATACTTGTGTAAAGTGTAGAAAAGTCAAATGTTTTAATACTATTGCAAGATGAGAGAGTCTTAGATTGTATGTACTCTAAAAGATCTTTGGCATTTTTTAATATCCACATCTGATTCACGCCACCTCTAGAAAAGGCAGTTTCACAATAACTTTGGAGCCCGGCTTTGATTGCTGATAAAATAGATGTTAATAATTTAGAAAGAGGTTTCGTGGAGCACTTGGAAGACCCAGCAATATACCGTTGTTTGTAAGGACACTTATGTAGTTTAGGTATCCAATTCAGTGATGGAAGATCCAGTTCTTCGTCTTTGGTTGAAATTCCAAAGGAACATAGAACAGACCTATGATTATCTAGGATTTCCTCTTTGGTAAGTGTCGTGTGGGTATATGTTGAGTTTCCAAGTGAATTGTCAATACCTAATTCATTTATCAAGCAGTTTATGTGATGATATTTACACACAAAAACGATGTTGTTTACCAAGCGTGATCATGATCATATTAATTTAAAAACTGTTTTTTCATATTTAATTTCAGATAAAATAAAACAAAATGAAGATCATGGCAAAAGGCGTAAAAAGGTATATTTTTCATTCTACAAAAACACTGTTTTAAAAGAACTATAATCAACTACATAACACTTTTCCTTCTTTTATTATTTGTACTAAGCATTCCTCTTTGTTGTATCAATTTTAGATCATACCCCAAATAGGACTGTCATTCCATATATCTAGTGAAAATATCGTGAAAGACTACGAACCGGTGTTCAAGTATTGCGGTCGGATCGTGAATGCAATTAATAACAACTCAAATTCTGTCATAACTACGTTGTATTGTCAAAAGGCCGAAAAAAATCAATACAACGAATATGCGTGTCATAAATATTAGCATTCGTCAATAAAGTTTGTACTAAGGTAATTTAACAGAAAAGAACTCAGTGTGTCAGACAGTACATTAAGATGTATTAGATATAGGAAGATGTGGTATGAGTGCCAATGAGACAACTCTCCATCCAAGTAACAATTTATAAAAGTAAACCTTTATAGGTCAAGGTACGGCCTTCAACACGGAGCATTGGCTTTCACCGAACAGCAAGCTATAAAGGGCCCAAAAATTACTAGTGTAAAACCATTCAAACGAGAAGACCAACGGTCTAATCTATATAAAAACGAGAAACGAGAAACACGTATGAACTACATAAAAAGACGACAACTACTGTGCATCAGATTATTTGTTTTCGATGAAAATTTCAGTTTAAAAAAGAAAAGGAATTTTTCTGAACTGTATTGAGTTCACCGCGGTAGATAAGTATGAAAATTGGCTGTAAGACTAAACATTAAAGAAATTATTTTGTTCAGACCTTTTACATAGTGTTAAAACAAATTACTGTTTAAGACTGAAGTTCATTTACTAATGGACAGAAGAACAGACTAACAGACAAACAGTGATGACTATATAGTACCATCGACTAGTCAGCATGGCTTTCATAAAGAAACAGATCAAATGGTATTGACACCATAGCCTTATTCATATTTAAAAGTGAAACTGAATAAGTAATGCAGTCTATTGCTACTCCAATTACCATATAATTACCGCAATGATTTGAACGTTCAGCTTCCAAAAAAATGAAAAAGCGACAAATGATATTTTACGATCCTGTTCACGATCGTCAAAAAGCGGTACTCGATCTTTTCATGATAAAAAATAAATATTCCAATGTTTGCATACAATATGAATAAGTTACAACATTACAATCTGAATAGCCATTTGAAACAGTAAAAGAGAAGCCAAATATTCCAAAAGGGACTCATAAGTCGAAAATAAACTGACAACGCCATGGCTAAAAAAGAAAAAAAGACCAACAGACAAACAACAGTACGTGACATATAAACCCTCATTGTTTTCGTCATTAATATTATGGTAATAATTGTTTAAATCATTGGAATGAACAATCTATTTTTTGTTTGTTTGGTAATTACTGTGAAACTTTGAACGTTTCTATTTCTCAAATACTGTGTATAACGTTGAACTATTTGACGGACATATTTCTTTTTTTTCTGCTTCTTTCCACCTCTTAATGATACAACGTTTATTTTTCTCTCGCATATATTACAGTTTAATTGTATCTAATGGTATTCACGATCCTCTACTAGATCTTACACGATTCCATCACAATACTTGATCACCGTTTCTTATTCTTTCACGATAATTTTCCTAGATTAACCGTATGACAGTCGTGCCACAAAGAACATTTACTCATCGTAGAAATATTCAACTATTGGATTTTCTTATCCCAGAAATAGATTAGCTTAGCCGTATTTGGCACAACTTTTTGGAATTTTGGGTCCTCAATGCTCTTCAACTTTATACTTGTTTGGCTTTATAGCTATTTTGATCTGAGCGTCACTGATGAGTCACGTATGTAGACGAAACGCGCGTCTGGCGTATTAAATTATAATCCTGGTACCTTTGATAACTATTTACACCACTGGGTCAATGCCACTGCTGGTGGACGTTTCGTCCCCGAGGGTATCACCAGCCCAGTAGTCAGCACTTCGGTGTTGACATGGATATCAATTATATGGTCATTTTTATAAATTTCCTTGTACACAACTTTGAATTTTTCGAAAAACTAAGGATTGTCTTATCCCCGGAATAGATTCTCTTAGCCGTATTTGGCACAACTTTTTTGAATTTTGGGTCCTCAATGCTCTTCAACTTTGTACTTGTTTGGCTTTATAACTATTTTGATCTGAGCGTCACTGATGAGTCTGATGTCGACGAAACGCTCGTCTGGCGTATTAAATTATACTAGAACACACCCGCGAAATCACGGTCATTTAGAGCGTGGTTGAAAGTATGGAAACTGTTGTAGGATATGTTTTTGTAAAAGATTTTATGACTGGAGAATTTCAGGGAAAGGTATCAAAAGGCATAGGTACTTAGGGACAGGACAATTCTTTTTAGCCCTCCCCATTTTTTTGTTTTCTTTTAATTTCAATTATTTTCACGTTTTTCTGTATACTATGAACATACGTATACTATGATCTCTATATAATATATGACCGCCGTTGAAAGTAAACTTGGCATTGATAGTAAATAGCAAATACACTTTATTTATTGTATATGTATGTTCATAGTATACAGAAAAGGCGATAATAATTGTTCTGTCCCCAAGTACCTATGAAAATAATGTGTAATTTTAAACAGTTCTAAACGGAAGTCTTGTCTATGACTTTAAAGTCCGTCCGATGATGGAAACAATATCCGGACGCCTTTATTTTCATTTTCCTCCTAAATAACCCAAAGGGAATAATCATAAGCAGGGATGACAAATGCGACTCTGCATGGTAACTATAGGACACAATGGCATGACGATTAATTTATTGTGAAAGGAAGAGAAAAAACACACAAAATTAGGTCTTCTCATTTAATAGTATAGAATCCTGGTACCTTTGATAACTATTGTTGCCGAATCTTTCGTTTTGTAGAGAGCTTTGTCTGTATTGTCTTTTTATATAAAAATAAGGAGATGTGGTATGATTGCCAATGAGACAACTATATACCAGAAAAAAAAATGACGTGATTGTAAACAACAATTTCTTTTCTTTTGGCAATGGTCCCGATTTCGATTGTCATATCTTAAAATCTTCTCAAGTGTCACAGAAAGATAATAAGAGAGGTAAGATACCAACTATGACTACACCGAAAAACATAAATGGAAAGTTCAGAAAGAAAATGTCGAAATCCTGCTTTAAAGTTTTATATTTACCCGAACATCACAGTGTCAGTCTCAGAAAAAGATCACAATTCGTTCCACGTCATACATGTCAAGCAGTAAATAATCGTTTGTTTTGTTTCCCACCTTGCCAGACAAACCTTTCGTTTTGGTTGTATTGAATAGACCCATTACGTTTCAAAAACACCTGACGAATGCTATTTCAGAAAATTTTACGAAGAAATCAATATATCATGTTTTCTTTTTGCAGTCTCTGTGTTTTTATTAAACTGAATCATAGTAACAGCTTAAAACTTGTTTTTCAAGTATTTGTTGAGGGAAAAATACAATTAATTTTTATGACAGATGTTTAGAAGGCATAGTTAGTTACACAAGTTAGTGAAAAGGATACACATGCTGTTAAAATCCACAAAGTCTTATATAATTTACTTGAGTCATTTTATTTCATTATATTGTTGTAAACACTGTCTGTTTTAGCACCTAACACATAAAAAAAAGAGTGATCCTTTAGCAGATATCGACTCCAATAGTGAAGGTAACAAAAAATTAAATAAATGATAAATTACGGTAATAAAGCTGTTAAAAAAATGTAGTTAACATCGTGCTATTTCTAAATGTATGATAAGATGTATATACGATCTTATTTGTTTTCCTGATGTGCTGTACAGATTATACAACGTAAACAATTAGGAAGAAAACAAAATGCTAGATTGTGAAGTACAATATGAAAGTTCGTCCTTGGCAGAAGCCTGTGGTTGTTAATTGTTGCTGTATATTATATTTGTTCCTCGTTTTTTACTCTTTTTTTTTACATAAATCAGGCCGTAAGATTTTTCGTTTGAATAGTTTAAGATTGTTCCTGTCGTGGCCTGTTAACATTTGCATGGATTTTGTTCATTGTTTAAGTCCTATAATTGCTAACTTCTATATCCTATGGTCACTGTCAATCATACCACATCTTGTTATTTTTATCTTTATCACGGTTCGTAAAATAGACAAAAAATAAGGAATTCCAACTACAAAATATGTATTATTACTTTTTAATAGACTAAAATCTTGGTAATTTTCTCTTTCTAGGGGAGTTGATGTTTTATCTTGAAATAAACCAATATGTTTTTTTTCTGTGTTTAAATATTGCTATTAACATAAGCTTCGCCTAGTAAATAGTATTTTTTTGCTCTAAACATTGCTTCGTCCAGTTTCGATTGTTTGCTAAAGCATTACCATGCATATTGCAGAATAAATCGATCATATGCAATTATGTTTACAATTGTTAATACTAATTTTCTTGCTACTATTTTCTAAAACGAGATAAGCAAGAATTCAACCACAAATTAAAGAAATATATGGAAAACATTCTCATCGTCGAAATGTGTGGGAAAAACTAATTTTCAATTAATGTAGAATTGTATTAAATCATTGTTCTATAATACATTCTTAGATTTGCGATATAATTTATTGAATTATTGAACTGTTCATGATATATGAATGTCCTTTAAAAAACTAATATTTAGTTAACCCTCGAAACTTAGTTTTAGATAAGACAAGTAGTCTTTATAATGTCGTACTTGTGACCTTCCAAAAAATAATGAATGTCTTGTGCCTGCTTTTCATTGCCACCCTTACAAGGAATGTATGTCCCTTTAAGCCGTACTTCTACTCTTGGACAAATGAAAAGATGCAGTTTTTGAAAGTCGAATAAATATCATAGTACTGTTCAAATACAAAAACTGATTGTAATTATCAGACGGCTATGCATACAAATCCTTCCGATAGTCGGATAAACCCCACAACCACGAACAAACATTGGGTCATGATGAGCAGTTAGTTCCAAATGTCAGAATACATGATAACAAATGCGAGTAAATTGTAAACTGAATTCTATTGATTGTGAATATTTTTACAGAAACATTAATAATGAGTTTCGCAACTCAGTGTTCAAATACTTTTCCGCAACGTTTCTTTTGTTATATGTTTGTACGTTGTGATATTCTATTGTAGTAATTAAATATGTTTTGGCCACTGGCCTTCTTCAGATTCACTTTAATCTTTGTAACCTTAATGTCTAAGATACATTATTTTTTTATTACTTGTATTGGCTTTGAACTAGCTGTCAGTAACTGCAAGTACTCTCAGATCTGTACTTAGTGTCTTTTTTATTGTTGTAAGGGATGAGGAATAGACAAATATCCTGCCACATCCGGTCTATGTTTTTGTTTGGTGTTTTTCTGCTTTGTATCGATCTGATGAATAAAGCCTTTTGCAAGGGAGGCGAAATATACCAGAGGGATATTCAAACTCATAAGTCGAAAATAAACTGAAAAAGCCTGGGCTAAAAAAAAAAAGACCAACAGACAAACAATAGTACATAAAACACAACATAGCAAGCTAAAGACCGAGCAACACGAACTCCACCAAAAACTGGGGGTGATCTCAGGTGCTCCGGAAGGGTAAGCAGATCCTGCTCCACATGTGTCATGCAGGGGCTACTGGAATGTTGCTACATAGAAATGGAAAGTTCACAATTGGGAAGCTGAAATCATCTCTTTTGTCGTAAAGTTTTGTTTTCAACCGACCCTCATTGTCAATTTCTAGATGTAAGTCAAGATATGAGGCAGACTTTACTGTATCTGTTGTATCCTTTATTTCAAGTTCGATGGGATAGATGCGTTCAACATAGTCACCAAATTTTTAATTATTTATTGAGAGAACATCATCTATATAGCGGAAAGTAACGTTAATGGATACTGCTTATTTCTTTTCCTTCTTCCTTAGAAGTTCCTGTATGAATTCAACCTCATATGAATAAAGAAACAAGTCGGCAAGAAGGGTACAGTTTGTTCCCAAGAGAATGCCGATTGTTTGTTGAAAAACGCGTCCTCAAAACGTAACAAATATGTTGTCAATCAAGAAATCAAGCATCTTGATAATGTCAGTTTCAGATAATTTTTTGGTTTGAATCAGAGTGATTTTTTTACAAAGTATGATTAATCCCTCCCTTAGACAAGATACTTGTATCTACAATGACCATTCTTTTTTATGGACTAAGCAGGACAACTCTTTCAATTTTTCTCTTAGTTTGGAATGGGGAATACTTGTGTAAAGTGTAGAAAAATCAAATGTTTTAATACTATTGCAAGATGAAAGAGTCTTAGATTGAATTTACTCTTAAAGTTCTTTGGAATTTTGTGTATCCACATCTGATTCACGCCACCTCTAGAATAGGTAGTTTCACAATAACTTTGAAGCCCGGCTTTGATTGCTGATAAAATTGATGTTAATAATTTAGAAAGAGGTTTCGTCGAGCACTTGGAAGACCCAGCAATATATCGTTGATTGTAAGGACAATTATGTTGTTTAGGTATCCAATACAGTGATGGAAGATCCAGTTCTTCATCATAGAACAGACCTATGATTATAAAAGAATTCCTCTTTAGTAAGTGTCGTTGGGGTATATGTTGAGTTTCAAAGTGAATTCTCAATACCTAATTCATTATCAGGCAGTTTATGTAACGTGATTTACACACAAAAACGATGTTGTTTGGGGGTTTATCTGCGGGGACAAGAACATATTTGTCATGGAGGTAGGACAAGTGTTTTTTTCATAGTTTGTGCTTTTGTTGTGTTGTTACACCTCTGTCCCAGGTTAGGGGAGGGATGAGCTCACAAACATGTTTAACCCCGCCACATTCTTTATCCGTCGGTCCCAAGTCAGGATCCTGTAGTTTAGTGGTTGACGATGGTTCATTCTGTCATATTTGATTTTCTTAAATTGTGATGTTATAAATTAGGCCATTAGTTTCTCAATTGAATGGTTAAATATTTTTCATGTAAGGGGCTTTAATAGCCGACAATACGGTTTGGGTTTTTATCATTGTTAGCGGCCGCACGGTTGCCTGTAATTACTAACATCCACTTCATTTGAACTTTGGTGGATAGTTGTCTCATCGGCAATCATACCACGTCTCCCTTTTTTTATATGGTAGACAAATCACTTTTAAAAATGCTTTAAGCATTTAACTTATATTTATGATAATTGCAGCACCTCTAAAATGCAGAATAGGGTCGTAGGGGTCACGTTCTCTAATAAATAAATATCAATCTGAAACGGTCATGTTGATATTAACAACATCTGAAAAGTCTGAACAATAAATTATTCAGCCATGCATGTTCAGTCTTTCAATCAATTTCCAGACTTATCCATAGCTGTAAATTCAGTTCTGTTTAGACAATTCGCCTGCAATAAATTCAGAATTGTTCAGTAATTTTTTCAGACAATATGGGTGTCCCAGGCTGAAGGATCTTTGAACATTGCGCTTACAAACCTGTAAACCACACAAAACTGTGTGTGTACCTGTCCCAAACAAGAAACATACACATAATCCACTATACACTGCGACAAGTTCATGACCTTTTTCATTGATTTCATTAAATGTTCATAATTCATATCTTTCAGACGAAGATACAGAAAACTTCAATTTTGGTGCTGTTAAATTGAAAGTGAAAAAGAGTGATATAACAACATCAAGGGTATGAGATTTCTGCGTAAATCATAATAACTGTATAAAAACTCATCAAAGATACCTGGCTTATAATTCGGCACACCAGACGTGCGTTTCGTCTTTACATACTCACCAGTGGCGATCGAATCAACAGGTTAAAAGCAATTCAAATACAAAGTTGAAGAGAATCAAAAAGCGAAAATTCCGTAAAACAGTAGCAATCTACGCCTGTGGGTAGAAAAACCTAAGATTTTTCAATAATTTAACATTTTATTAACAGCAAATTAACAGAATATAAATATATCAATGATATGTTATGTCAGCACAGACGTGTTGACTATTGGGCTGCTTATTTCCTCTGAGACGAAACGCCCAATAGCATGGAATCGACTTAATGGTTGTAAAAACTCATGGAAGGTACAAGCTTGTGATTTGATATGCCAGACGCGTGTTTCGTCTGGCGCTGGAATTAACAGATTAGTATAACATATAAGAACACGTCTAAGATAAACAAAAAATAGACAAAATGGTATTGCTAGCCTTTAAAAGTTCGTTTACTTGTATTCATTCTTTTATTGAGGAACTGAATAACTATTTTCTTACCTATTCCCATTTACATGAAATATTTTCAAATGGGACTCGAGTGAAACGTTACATAACCACTTAGAAGATTTTGTTGCATTTCAACTGATTGCATTTTTTTCTTTTTATTGTTTCAAACTCCAGGCTGACATTTTCGTATCTACATTCCCAATGGATATGAAGACTGAATCGAGTGTTATTTTCAAATCATTAGTGGATGTTGGCGGTCGGAAAATATTAACCGATTGCACTCGAAAGAATCGAAAAATAGGCGATATATTTACAATTGATGGTGGCGAATTAAGCTGCAAATATATTTACTTTGGTGTTTTACCACATTGGAATGAGAAAGGAACATTTAAGCCTACAAAAGTATGTATTTCTATTATCAAAGTGTCATATCAAGCTTGTACATAAACCAAAATACTAAAGTGTGATCATCGCTAATAAATACGCGATGCAATGTTATGGTATTGAAGGCTTCAATCATAACAAAAAATAATACTAAACCCAATATCCGATTCAGTATTTTTTGGAATATCATGAATATAGCAGCCTAATTTCTAATTCCAAAATCGACTGACATTATCCAGAAAAAAATATGTCCGGTTAGAATAATACAATAGAAGATATAAACATCAGCAGAACAGACACGATAGCTTTAATTGTGCAGCTTATATTAAAATCAAGTAATTCTGAATATCGTTAATGTGATTCGACACATTGCACTTTGATATAGCTGACATTTTGTAATTTCAAATGGTTGGATAACTAAACTTGTTTTTACAACCATAAAAGTTTTTATGTGCATTGATAAAAATACAGATTTTAAACGAGAAGTTTTGAACAGCAATATAGTCGTCAAGAAACCCAACCGTTTGTTAAAAAATATTCTTTAATTGATTTATGTAAATTTTAATCATGGTTAGAAAAAAAATCTTTAGATGTTCATTAAATATATACATGCACACTTTTTTCAATGTTGTCTTGTTGATTATATTTATGTTGGTACCATTTATCGTTATGTGCTCCGTTTTGTGAAACACCGACCATGGTGTTATAGATTTTTAAATTGATTTATTTGCCCAAATCTGACCTACTAAAATATGTTGAGGTTTGAATGCTTTGGTAACGACTATAATATCTCAGTGATACTTCAACTTCAGTTTAAATAAAATAAAAACTGATAACGTAATTGCGAATAATGGATGAGAACGAAAAGTTAAACACCCCATCGAAAACTAAAAATTTAGCAAAACTAACCTTTTCAAAATCTGGGAGTTATCTATGATGTTTTGGAATGGTAAGTAAAGCCTAATCTATTGAGGTTTAACAGTTTGACGCCTTCATTACTACTTGTTATGTGATGATCATAGTTTAGAACATATCTGTTTTAAATGTTTTACATCAATATATGTGTCGGATTTTTGACATGTATTAGTCAATATACATTGCTACTGAAAACCAAACCTTGATATACCAGGGTTATTACAAAGTATATTGTGCTAAGTCTTTTTCCAATCAACTTTTACCCGAAAGCGAGAACGACTAAGTATGATATACTTTAGATACGTTTCTAGTGAATATTAAACAGCCCTTATCTGAATCATTACATATACAATAGTAGAACAATTTTATAAATCACTTATTAATTTACATTTGCCGTTTATTTCGATTGCAGTTGTTACAGTTTTGAATCTGATATATTTTAATTTAGGTGCTTAAAGACATAATAGGCAAATCGTTATCGAATGCACACAAACATAGATCAGGTAAAGTAGCTTTTCCAACTCTTGGAACAGGTGGATTAGGATTTCCAATGCAAGTAGTGGCAAAGACAATGATTGATTGTATCAGAAATTTTTCATCAGCACATCCGAGTACAGAGTTAAAAAGAATAGATTTTGTAGTTTATAAAAACGATAGAAATTGCGATCGAGATTTTAAGGTGAGTATATGTAGGTATAGCCCTTTAAACAGCTTATATTGCAACCGTTTGGACCTTCCGCTTTTTTTTTTAATGCTCTTCAACATCACATGTCATTCTTTTTTATTTGGGCGCCACTGATAAGACTTATTCAGACGAAAAGCGCACATGTCCTACTAAATTATAAGTCAAGTGTCATCGATTTGTTTTTACATAATTAAATATAATGCCCTGCTTTTACATAATTAAATATAATGCCCTGCTTTTACATAATTAGATATAATGCCCTGCTTTTACATAATTAGATATAATGCCCTGCTTTTACATAATTAAATATAATGCCCTGCTTTTACATACTTTTAATGCATTCCAGATAGTCCGTTATTTGTGGCGATGATTCACATCCTGATGGAATGATTATTCTTTCTTGTTTCGTCTTACAGTCTTATGTATTGTATGAAAAAGGGATTAAATAAGACCCTATCGCACTGCACATCATCACGTGATAAAATTCTATATTCCATTTGGTTCTTATAATTTTAGTCACAAACTTCTTCTTTTCAGACTGTATGTGAAGAATGCAAAAGGATTAGACGTAAGTATGAATTTTTGAAGAAACTACGTCTCATCCTTAATTTTGGTTACAGACATTTTTTCTAGTTTTCGAACTTTTTCCATCATTCTATATATCTTTTTGTATTTTGAATTAATACGACTTGACAGATGCAGGTAATTTTACGCAATCTTTGACTGATTTATTGAGGGTAACACATAGTATTTTGAATTATTTCGAATATTGATCAGGAGAAATGTACAATTATCTTAATTAGATATAAGAAGATGTGGTATGAGTGCCAATGAGACTCTCCATCCAAATCACCATTTGTAAAAAGTAAATCATTATAGTTAGTCTACATGCCGTGTCATGCCTGGCACCGTCAAAATCACTGCTGATCTTTATAAAGCCGAAACAATTTATACTATGACAAGAGTATCTCATAAAACATTAGATTTTCCAATTTGAAACAAAAAACAAAAAACATGGATATTTCGACATTAGACATCATTTGAGAGCAATCAATTGTGGAAATGCGAATCTGGTTCATCAATTTGTATACATCAAAACTATGTAAATTTGAAAATTCAATATTAGTACACACTTTGAAGAGATGATATAACCAAAATGGGTCGTGAAAAAATATTGGTAACAAAATGAAAAAAAAAACATTTTGAACTAGATGAAGATTTTAACACTTTTTTTTTCACTTTCAGTATATAAAACAGGATCATGTTTTGTTATTTATAGGTCTCTTACTTTATAGAATTTACTCAAAATTGCAAAAATTAGTAATCATGATACACACAAGCATGACCATTTACTTCTTCTAAGTAAGCATTTTATTTCAGATTCCGAAGTTTCAGTTGTTTGCATAGCCAATATTTCCCCATACGTATGAAATGAGAATGTATTTTAGATTTTTTTTATGGGATAGTGTAATAAAATTATCGACATTTTGCATCATTGCAATGTCATGAATGTGTGCTTCATAAAATTGAATATACCACTCAAAACTATCAACAGATACATTTTAAAATTTTGATATATTTTAGTTGACTCATCTCCAGGTTATACAACTCATATGCCAATAGTAAGAGTGACGACAGATGATATTCTACTACAAAAGGTATCTAATCTATTACTTAAAATGAACGCTTTATATCAATATATCAAAATGTCCTGAATATAGACCTTCATGCAATTTTGTTTGCCTTTTACTTAAAATTCAGAAATGCGCATAGGGCGGAGTACAAACTTTTTACTTTGACAAATGCCTGCCAGTTGCCTAGCTGATTTTTGTTAAGTTCAACTTGTCTGTAGTTATGAATTTTTTTCTTCTAATGTTCACAACTTGTTTTATTAGATCTATCTATAGCAAAACGAACATAGGTAGAGGGGGATCACATTTTGTCTAATACTATGCATATGTTATGACATGCAAGTGTTATTTGTATTTTTCACAGGAAAATACCAGGCAGATGAAAGGCTTAGCAATATATCAAACATGGAGTTGCAAAATGTTCACTTTATCATGTTTATGCATACAATTTAATTTACGATAGTTTCATTTATAATATAACTAATTATTTTGGCAGACGGATGTTATTGTTGTCGGTTTACCGTTGGATTCAAAATTTGAAGAAAGAAGGCTATCGAACAAACTTTTGCAAGAAACAAATGGCGAAATAGGTAGAGACTTCAAGAAGTCGTATGGGAATGGTCTTAGTCCAGGAGTTGTTGCTATTTTAAGCAGTTGTAAATTAGATTGTGAGAAGCTATTTTTTGGCTGGGTTCCAAAAGAAAATGAGGCAAATAACGGAAAAGAGGTACGTCTTTGTTAAACGCGCAGAGACTTCTGTTTTATTCAACACCTTTATCAATCTATCAGTAAAATATATAGAATTGAGAATGGAAATGGGGAATGTGTCAAAGAGACAACAACCCGACCAAAGACCAGACAACAGCCGAAGGCCACCAATGGGTCTTCAACGCAGCGAGAAAATCCCGCACCTGGAGGTGGTCCTCAGCTGGCACCTAAATAAAAGTGTGTACTAGTTCAGTGAAATTGGACGTCACACTAAACTCCAAAACATATAAATGAACTAAACTTAACAAAACCTACAAGACTAACAAAGGCCAGGACTCCTGACTTGGGACAAGCGCAAAAATGCGGCGTGGTTAAACATGTTTTGTGAGATCTCAACCTTCCCTTATACCTCTAGCCAATGTAGAATAAAGAAACACATAGCAATACCCACAGTAATAATTCAGTTTAAAAGAAGTCCGAGTCCGATGTCAGAATAGGTAACAAAAGAAACTAAGCAAAATGACAATGATACATAAATGAACAAAGGACTACTATCAGTTACTGACATGCCAGGTCCAGACCTCAATTAAACTAATTGAAAGATTATGTCTTCATCATATGAAAATCAAGTACAATCCCTCCCGTTAGGGGTTTAGTATCATACCATCATAAGATAAATGAGAAGAACATAACCCGTATCATGCCAATAACTGTGTTTATGTCCGATGCAAAGACCCTATGAGTGAATCAATATTAATACCAAAATATGCAATCCTTAATGACTTGACAATATTATCGTAACTATATCCTTTCCGAATAAGTCTGTTGAAAGGTTTGGTTAGCTTTTGAGGTGAATGCCGACATTTTTGTGTTTTGTAAAGATTATTACCATAAAATATTTGATGTGAAATACCCGAACGTATAAGATGTCTGCATGTTGATTTATATTTACGAATGATGTCCTTGTACCGATGATAAAATTTAGTAAATGTTTTGACTAGTTTGTGATATCGAAAACCCTGGTGTAATATTAGTTTCTTTCGCTGAAATCAAATACGTTGTTACATACACGAGCGAATCGAACAAGTTGAGATATATAAACACCATAAGGTGGCAATAAGGGAACGTCACCATTTAAAAATGGATAATTAACAATAGGAAATGAAAAATCATCTCTTTTATCCTAAATTTTGGTTTTAAGCTTCCCGTTAAAGATAAAGATATCAAGATCCAGGAAAGGGCAGTGTTCATTGTTAGTATTAGCTACATTTAAAGTCAGTTCGGCAGGATAAATCTCTTCAGTGTTCATACTAAAATAATGTTTGTATAACAAATACCAGTTGTTTTTGTGTCGTCGGGTTGCTATCTCATGGACGTATATATGTCATTTTATGGTAAACATTTAAAAAAAAACATCTGTGTTTGATGTGAAGTATTTTATAAAAAAAATGTGCATCATTATTCCATGAACCATTGTAAAAAAAAAAGGCAAAAAGGTTAAGTTCCACAGCAACATGAGCAACTGATCATCTAGGTAAGCAGCTATGAGCAACGTTATTATCTTTTAACATTATAGTAATTGTTTTTTTTTTTTTCTGTTTGATATGCATTTTTTGAATAATGCCTAAAATATGTGATTAATTAGTTTCCTATCTTAATCTTAGATTCCTGTTAGATCTATCGATTTATTAAAATTAAATAATAATAATTTGGTCCGATGAAAGAATAAAGCAAGATGAATGAACAATAAAGTAAATCATAGAAAAGTACATAAACAAGTAAATATTTAGACGCGGATGCTCCAAAACATTAAGGAGTTCAAACCAAGGTTATCGGGTTTACTGTTTGTCGTATTTGTTTTTCATTTTGTTTAAGCTTTGAACAGGTAGTTGATCACATTTAGTCATATCGATTGATTGTATCGCTTACTATACAATTTCGTTTAGCCAATATATGTGGCTATATCAAGGGTATGATTTCATGAGTGACGAGGTCGATATACAATAAAACCTGCCTCTTACGGTTGCTTTCACAGACTTCCGAGCATTCTCTCTATTTAATTTAACTCGTTTCAGCGGTCACCTGTCTAACGCGGTCAGTGGTCGTATGATTTCCGCACGAAATCGTCATTTCAATTTTTAATAACGGTCATTTTAATGTTTTAACGGAAAAAAATTATGACGTTATCAAAATCGAAGTCAAAATGAAATTCGAAACCCACTTGCAAACGAGATTGCACAAAAGAAGGTGAATTCGTGAATTCCCCGTGTTCCACTCCTTACATTTTCTATTCAAAACCGTATCAACGACTTATTTTTCCACGAATAAAAACATATTTCAAATTGCTCTTCAAATCAAATCACCGAAATCAGCCCTTTATTTTATTTTATAACTTTACTGACTGAAAACCCTTAAACAATTTGCCCTGAACCCTTGTACGGGTCATGTCGAAATTGGAATTTTTGGAACCTTGTTAAAAGGTTACAAGGTTACTTTTCTTGAGCGGTAAATGTTTATCCTAAGAGTAACTGCGTAATACAGGTTTGACTGTTCCGTTTTTTATTCATAAGACCGTACTGGTTACCGGGGCTTTGAATATACCGGATCAATAACTTTATATCTGAAAAACAGTCAATATATACTCTCTTTTCTTAGATTTATTAGGGCCCCGCCGAATGGCGGACGCCTTATAGTGATCAGTCTGTCCGTCGGTCTGTCTGTCCGTCGGTCTGTCTGTCCGTCGGTCTGTCCGTCCGTCTGTCCGTCCGTACGTCCGTCCGTACGTACGTCCGTCCGTAACAAATTGTGTCCGCTCTATATCTAGATAACCGTTATGATTTCAAAGTTCATACTTGACATGCATATTAACCAACACCAGAGGGTGTGTCATAATGTATGTACAACTTCCTAGGTCAAAGGGTAAGGTCACAAACTTTGGTTTTAGTTGAAAACCCCATGTCCTATGGTAAAGATCGTGTCCGCTCTATATCTTGAGAACCGTTATGATTTCAATGTTTTTACTTGACATGTATATAAACCAACACCAGAGGGTGTGTCATAATTTATGTACAACTTTCTAGGTCAAAGACCAAAGTCAAAAACTTTGGTTTTAGTTGACAACCCCATGTCCTATGGTAAGGATCGTGTCCGCTCTATATCTTGAGAACCGTTATGATTTCAAAGTTTATACTTGACATGTATATAAACCAACACCACAGGGTGTGTCATAATTTATGTACAACTTCCTAGGTCAAAGGTCAAGGTCAAAAACTTTGGTTTCAGTTGACAACCCCACTTCCAATGATAAAGATACAAATTATTTACCACACAATATTCACAGCGGGGCCCACAGAGATGGCTCCCATCTCAATGATATCTAGTTCATACAATTTTGTATTATTCAAAATTATCAGTAAAAAGATGTTCTACAAATATCACCAGTTCTTCCCCTTTTATTTGAATCCTTAGTTACCAAAATATATTCTTAATAGATTGATATTACACCTATCCGTAAAAACTATTTTGTGATAAATATGTACTTCTTTCAGATATGTTCTTTTTGACCGGTCCCGATTAGGCAGTAATACATCTTACAAAGTCTACCCGAATTATTTTGCAAAGAATTTAACCGGTCCTAGAACCCGTCTTAAACTTGCAATAATATGAGGTATTTTGCTCAGTGTTGAAGACCTTACAGTGACTCATCAGTAAAATACGGAATTAAAAAAAATCAAATTTTTTCTTCAGATGCTACATGTATATCATGGTCTTAAAGATTAGCTTCTGACCAAGTTTCATAACAATCTATATAGTTTTACAAATTTATCATGTCAAAGACATAATGTATTATTTGAATCAGAAGATCTCAAAGAATTTCCTACTGGGTTAATGATATTTGCAAGAAACTGGTAGTGCACTGTTGGTATAGTATTTACTAGAGTAAATAAAATGGCTAATAGCAAAAATAAAAATGTAACCAAACAATAGAGAAAAAAATTAAAAAATTAAATTAAAAAAAAACGGCAGAGAACACGAACAACAAAGAGTTTCTAAACAAAGCAGTTCACTTTGCCTGAGGTAGTTACAACCCCAGGTTTAGTGCTATTTTTATATCTTCATGAACAGAACATTATAGAGAAAATGTATGATTTATATTCTCCCCATACCATAGCACTAGCTACTGATACCATTAAATAACTACTTAAAAGCTTTATATTTTAGACGGTTGAAGACCTGGATGCTTCATACTTTGTATATAGATGCCTTATATTATGAAGTTTCCGTTAGTCATATATCCATTGTCCTTGGCCTAATTTTCATGGTTTAGTGACTACTTGATAAAAAATGAGATTTTTTGTAATGTTAATTTTTCTCTTATTATGAGTAATACGATAACTATTTTTAGTATTGCGTACCTTGGATAGTCCACGTACCTGTCAGACAGTTTTTATCTGACCTCGACCTCATTTCATGGATCAGTGAATAAGGTTAAGTTTTCGTGGTCAAGTCCATATCTCAGATACTGAACGAAATAGGTCAACTATATTTAATGCATAGATTGGTTGTAAGGTGAACATGTCTGTCTGGCATGGTTTATCTGACCTTGACATCATATTCATTGTTCATTGGTCAATGTTAAGTTTTCATGGTTAAGTTTGTTTCATAGATACTATAAACAATATGTCAACTATATTTAATGCATAGATTGGTTGTAAAGTGTACATGTCTGTCTGGCATAGTTCATCTGACCTTGACCTCTTTTTATGATTCATTGTTCAATGTTAAGTTTTCCTGGTTAAGTTTGTTTCTAAGAAACTGTAAGCAGGTTGTCAACTATATTTGGTGTATGGAATGATTGTAAGGTGTACATGTATTTCAGGTTTGGTTTATCTGACCTTGACCTCATTTTCTTAGATCATGTTAAGTTTATGTGATACTTATAGTAAAGTACTGTCAACATAAAATCAATGGTCAGTAAAGCAGACGAGACATTTCAGCGTGTGCACTCTTGTATTTAGCTAGGCACGTGAAAGGACACACAAGACAGCAAACTGATTGTTTTAAAATGAGCTAAAACAAAACAAAATCTATATTTCATATGACCACATAAATGCGTAGGAAAGTGAATTGTTTATGTACAAATGATCTAATTAGCCAAATTTTAATATAAATGTAGGTTCTGGAAAAGTTTGTTATGAAATGCATTAGCAGTGCTCATGAAGATTACGACAGCATAGCGTTCCCTAGCTTTGTCGAGGAATGTAATTATCAAGTTGAAACTGTTGCAAAGATTTTCAATCAAAAGATAACAGAATTTTCAGATGAAAGGAAAACGAAAAATCTTCAAGACTTCCAAATCACGATTATAGCATCTGATAGGAAAGAGAAAACGGTAACTCTGTTATGTTTACACTTCTGCACCATATCTTCCTTTCCTTTTTTAATTAGTCAACAAGGGGAAGGGACAATATGACCTTGATTTGGCCAAAATTAAAGTACAAATTCAAGAGTACCTTCCATGATCTTAAAATTTTCGTAGACTACTTAGGCAAAGGGTGTCTAGAAAAAAAAACAATATAACTAAAATACCAAACTCTAAAGAAAACTCAAAACACAACATAGAGTCCAATATCAAATGGCAAAATAAAAAGTTCAAACACATCAAACGAATGGAAAACGACTGTCATATTCATGAATTAAGCTTGGTATAGACATTTCAGTATGAAGAAAATGGTGGATGAAACATGGTTTCACTGCTAGCTTAACTTCTCACTTGTATGACATTCGCATAGAATTCCATTATATTGACATTTTTTGAGGAAAACAAACAGACATATAAGTCACTATAAAACAAACTAAGTCAACAAAGAAAAAAATGTCATATAGACCCTCTATAGACAAAGCACATAAGCAAAAACGAAAGACAAGAATATAAAAAAATGACCGTTGTACAATAACACAATGGCGGGACAAATGACTTTGACGAGTTACAATTGCAACAACCACTACGAAATGTTTATTCTATTAACTGTTCAGATTTCTTTTATTATATATACTTTAAAATATATTTTGGATTAGAAAAGCACGTGCAAGAGGGCATGTTTAAAATGTTTTTCAAGAAATATGTTTTAAAAAAAAGTGATATTAATCACAACATAGAAAATAACTCACGTTAGTCCCAGACAATAACTGCATTGTGATTTAATATGTATTTGCTCAGACAGATGATTGTTTATAGCACTCCTTGTCTGGTGGAGTAAGGAGGCAAATGAAATCATCACCGACATCATGCTTAAAATTTACAAACGACACGTCGGAGACGCGCAAATAATAAAAGTTAAAAAGGCCAAAAGAAGTTCAAAGTTAAAGAGCATTTAAGACAACAATTTCCAAATGGTTTTGCCAAATATAGCTTTTTAAATAAATGAAATCTATTCCATTATAATTGTGAACATATAAATAATAATTCCTGTCTACACAGAATTGCTGACTACTGTGCTAATCATACCCTGCGCAGGAAACCTTCACCCGCAGTGTCATTGACTTGGTGGTTGTAAATACACAGATCATATATAACAGGCCTACAATATTGCACGCCAGAAGCCATTTGTGTAATATACGATCGATCAAATCATGAATGGCTTACCTACTGTTTATTTTAGTTACATTAGTCATACATGTATGTTTGTGTGAAAAAAAGGAAGTTGACTATATTATTTATTTCTCAACTTGGATAAATTTTATGAAACCGTGCATATGATATAAAAATAAGGAGATGTGGTATGATTGCCAATGAAAAAATATCCATCCAAGTTCAAATGAAATAGATCTTAGCAAGTATAGGCAACAGTGTTGCCTTCAACAATGAGAAAAACCAATACCATAAATCAGCTAAAAAAGGTCCCGATATGAAAAATATGAAACAATTCAATTGAGAAAACTAACGTTCTAATTCATGACAAAACAATTTACAACTGACAGACATGAACCAACGACAACAACTAGACTACAGGCTCATGACTTAGGACGAACAAAATGAGGTGGGGTTAAACATGTTTGTGGGCGCTCAGCCCTCCCCTAACCTGGCATTGGTGTTACAGCAGAACCTATGAACAAACTCTAAATATCACTTAAAAATAGCTGAACTCCTCAGATCTATACAAAGCAGAAAAACATCTAACAAAAAACACAGACCGGACGTGGGAGAGTATTTATACATCCCTATCAACAACAAAAAAAACCAAAATGTACAGATCTGAGAGTACTCGCAGTTACTGAAAGCTAGTTCAAAGCCAATAACAACTAATAAATGAAATCATGTATATAAGACTAATATATCAATCAGCACAGATCTAACATCCAATTGATTTAGTATAAAGACGTCATAAAGAGTTAAGGAAAACATGACCATGTGCAATGCCAAAATATAGGTATCGACAGATTGTAGTACCGTGATAGTGCATACATGTATGTATATAGCTATACTATTAAGTATGTTTAAAATTTACCGATAACATAATCATTACTTAAACCAAAATGTACATTATTCAAAGATCTATTTGCAGTGTTGGATTGGTAACCTTTTAGAATAAGTTTATTTAAAGGATTGATAAGTATACCCAAATCGTATATCAACAGGGCTCGATGTAGGAAATGCTTTGATAAAATCTCGTGTAAAACTGAAATGTCTTAATCTATGAAAGGACACTTATTGCTGTTAATGTTTGATTTATTTAAGTTAAGTTCCTTTGAGTAAATTTCGGCAGTATGTTTAGAATTCTTGATTATTTAGCGAAAAAATATCATGAAGATAACGGTAAATGTTTTTGAATTGATCAATTAGATGAAATTTAGACGGGTCTTTAATGAGTCCTGCTTTAAATTGTTTATCATAACAGAACAGGAACACGTTTGCTATTTAAGGGACACAATTGGTGCCCTTAGGAATACCTACAATCTGTCGATAAACTTTATTGCCGTTTCGTTATACGTGAAGAAATCTTAAATACGGGGTATAACATTTCTATTTTTAATCTGATGTTTATAGTTCCTCGGTAATAACGATACGACCTTTATTAACTTATTTAATCCATTGAATGCACTTGTTTATTAAAATTATTTATAAAACCCGGATGTATAATAAAATCTTTAAGGAAAGTCTTTATTGGAACTAAAATTGGTTCGGTTATTTGTGAAATAGAACAAATGGAATCGTCGTACATCTTGTCAATACTTGTATTTAAGCTCTGCACACGTGCATTCTTGTCGCAAACTGTTTATAACGTTCTTACTCTTAATACGTTGGTTGTAAATAATTCACAGATCATATAAAAAAAAGTTAAATAACAAAAATACTGAAATCTGAGGAAAATCCAAAACGGAATGTCCCTAATCAAATTGCAAAATCAAAAGCACAAACACATCAAACGAATGGACAACAACTGTCATATTCCTGTCTTGGTACAGGCATTTTCTTATGTAGAAAATGGAGGGTTGAACCTGGTTTTATAGCGCTAAACCTCTTACTTGTATGACAGTCGCATCAAATCATATTGAAAACGGTGCGTGAATAAAACAAACAGACATAATAGGTAAAAATGTAAAATAGAGGTTCAGCAGTCAACACCGTGTCACAATCTTAATCACAACAAAAACGAATAAATATTTAACAAAGAAGCACAAAAAAGCATATATTACATTTAACAACCTCGTTCATTGCTTACTTTTTTTTGTATTTTATTTATGTATTTCAAATCAACCCATAAAAAATCGAGGGATTTTAAACTCTGGGACCGAATCGTAATTTTAACATTAACTCTGGCGTAGAATAGCGTGTTTGACGTCAGAATGTAAACGTCACACAGGTAGAGATATATAATGTATCTATTAGTTGTTATTGGTATTTTCCTGTTTGGTATTTTATGTTTTAAGATCAAGGCCTGCAAATCATTGGTTGTCTGGTGTTCCTGTCTACCATAACTGTTTTTCGTTTATTGTTTTAGAATAGAACAAGCTGCTTGTTTTCATTTGTATCACACTTTGTCGTGCATGGGGCTGTTTATTGTCTAGTATACGGAACGGGTTTCACTCATGTTTGTAGGCCTGTCCAGTTGCCTATAACTACTTATATTTATATCCATTCGAAGCTGTCTGATACTTGTCTAATTGGCAATCATGCATACCACATCAAATCGTTGTTTAACGTGGTGGATATTTGTCTCATTGGAAATTATACCTCACCTCCTGCTTTTTTATATTAACTTAACTTTCTTATCATTTTTTGCAGGTTCTTCAGAAGTATTTTCCTCATATTGGATAATGATTGCCTCGAATTACGTTTAAAGCCAGATTCATGTTTGATATATATTCAAAGAAAAAGAACAGAATTTATATGTTTGGTCTATTGAATGGCTTTTAGTTTTTTGTACACATGTTGTTGTCAGTGTTATGGATCTTTAATGTAGATACAGTTATATAGATCTGTTTTGTTTTAAGTATACTTATTTCAAGACCTGTACTGCCAAGCCTTTACATTAAAGGGTAGGGGTTACAATTTTAACATCTGATCAATGTATATGCCAATTGCTTTATAGGCTGACATTACTGACGCTGTTAAACCCTCAGATGTTAAGTAAAAATATTATTTTGTAACTGTTATCTTCTATCAAACAACAGTAGTATTTGAAATAAAATAGATTATTTTATTATTTACATTTTGTTTTATTTTGAATTGATATATATATATATATCTATTTAAGTAAAAAGAAATGACAAATTGATTTTAGAAGAACACATTACAACAGCCAACCTACGGACCTTAGGAAAGTTGTTGCAAGGGTTCTTGGACGTGCAGACACCGTTGCAATTCCGCTTAAAACGGCAGCGGAGTTAACGTCGCTATTCCAACCGGATATGGCTGCGTAATGTATACAGTTATCTAAGAAAAACTAAAAGTTTGTGTTGCTCAATTATAGTTTTCTTTGTAGGGTTTTCCTTGCTTGTCTTTTAAGCTCTTTCGACACTCAGTTTCCAATTTGTTGAGTTTTAAATGACTCATTGGCATATTCCGCTACTTTTTATGAAGTGATTTACAGCCAGACGGGAGAAGTTATGAGATGACCATATTCCTATACCCCAAGCAAAACCGTAGGGTTATTTTTTTTTTAAAATTTAGACTGTTCCATATATGCAAGTACCTATCCTGTTATTGTAGATAAGTCATCCTTGAATTAATATACACTTCATGTTATCAGTATTATATATATTAATCGAAGAAACTAAACTTTACAGTTAGTATAATAAAAAAAAATGCAACATCATCGTCAAAAATTAAAACGGTGAAAGGACCAACAACAATAACAAAACATTAGAACGAAAACTAAAGACTGAATAACAAGAAACTCACCAAGTTTAGGGGTAAACTCAACAGTTGCGGACGTGGAAGCATTTTCTGTTCCACATACGTTCCTTATTTATGATACGCAACAAAACATCTAATTCTTAAACGGAGCCAACGCATGATTTGCGGATTCTAGAATGGGAAAGTCACAACATACGGTTGTAAAGAGACAAAGAAAGCAATCGTCAGTTTTTTGGTGATTTTATTAAATGTCAATTTGATAAATACACGTTCGGCAATGAGACTACAATTCACTAATACAAAAACCAAACAAATATGTTTAAGTCGATAGGTCTTTTACTGCTCTTTAACAAAACACAAGTGCGTATACGAAATGTAAAGCTCCAAAATCAACAGATTTAAAACAAGATTGGAAGTGTAACAATAACTAATTTACTTAATATCTCCTGGCAATGCTAAATTCCCTAAAGGAAAAACAGGACAAAAAAGTGAAGACAAACAAAATAATCAAAGATAATCACTTTTACTACTTTGTGTTGTGCAGTAAAAGTAAATTCACATATTTGCATCTATATTACTAATGAAGAGAAAGCAAGAAAAGCACATCGCAAAATCTAAGATAACGAAAGTGAGTACAGAATATTGGTCACTATAGATATGATCTGTAAGAATAACATGCATTCATTAGTTTTATTATAGGATGCAACTATATTTATAACAATATGATTATGTTTCGAATCGTTTAATGGTCAGAAGGTCAGTGTGCAAATGCATGTTTTCTGTTTCCTCTGTAAAAGCGGTTTGCTTTCATTCCAAACGAACCATTATATTTCAATTAACTAAAGAAAATCATGTTAAAGTTTACAGTTTGTAAAGTATATATATTATGTTAGTTAACAGACCTACCAGACACTAAAAGTGAAACTGTCGTTAACAAATAGGACTACTCCGTTATTTATAAAAAGAACATACAAGCAAACACTACTTTCCTCCCACAAAAAGGGGAAAAGCATCAACAACCAACTCACTGCTCTCTTGCACTATTATACATAATGAACGAGATATGCATCATCTAATTCATAGAAGGATGAATATCCTGGAAGTTTTCTTATTTTGTTTATTATTCTTTTTTTGTTAAAAATACAAGAGGCGTTTTAATTAACATATGTTTAGCTTTGGGTAACATGTATGATCTGATGTAGGACAACTAGATTTTTAACATGTGCTTATGGATAATGTTTGCAAGATTACCTCTTTTATTTGTAAACTTTTAATATAAATTTCAGTTTGAATGTACAGTCATGCATTTTTATTTATAGAATAGTTTCCGAATAGTTATAAATGAACAAGAATGTCGTCGTTGGGCTTCTTAAATGTAGTAAATTGCTAATTTTTCCCAAAAAAGTATATCTCACAAACAGGCTTTGAAAATTTGGCTGTAATGCATGCTTCCAAAATGTCGTATGTGAACTTGAACATTTTTGTAAATGGCAGTGAAATAAAAACTTTGAAATTTCACCAGACACAAGTTGTTTACTTTTTCCTTTTTCCTTTTTCGATATTCAAATTTTGAAAAATATTCTAATTCCAAACTGAATTTTTTTTTCACAAAAATTGTTTTTCCTCCAAAAAATTTTCCTCAGAATTTTTTTCTCAAAATTTTTTTTTCTCAAAATTTTTTCTTCAAAATTTTTTTTTTCCATTTCCTTATTCGGTTTCTATTTCCTTTTTCGGTTTCTATTTCATTATTCGATTTTCATTTCCTTATTCGGTTTCTATTTCCTTATTTGATTTTCATTTCCTTATTCAGTTTCTATATCCTTATTCGGTTTCTATTTCCTTATTCCGATTTTCATTTTCTTATTCGGTGTCTATTTCCTTATTCGGTTTCTATTTCCTTATTCGATTAACATTTCCTTATTCGATTTTCATATCCTTATTTGGTTTCCATTTCCTTTTTTGATATTGATTTCCATCAATTCAAGTTTGAATTTTGTTTCGGTCTGATGATTTTTTGCAGAGTTTTTGGTCCTTGGTAATTCTCTGAAATATTTGGTTTTCCACATTTTCCTTTTAATGCTTAAAGATGTTGACTTGAAATTTGGCATGTAGTTAAACCATGACAAGTTACAGATCAAGTGCGAATTGTGTTTCGGTCTGATGATTTTTTCCAGAATTGTGGTCCTCGGACATAGAAAATTCATAAATTTTCCACTATTTTTTTTTTTAATTAAAGATTTTGATTTGATATTTGGTTTATAGTTTTACCATTACAAGTTACAAATAAAGTTTAAATTTTGTTCTAATTTGATGATATTTTGCAGAGTTATATGATCCTTAGACCTAGAAAAATCACACAATTAATCAATATTCTGCACTTTATTTAGGCATGCTTGACTACCGTTATATTGATTTGATATTTGGTATCTGTATTAATTTAACATGACAATTGTTCATTTTTTGTTTGTTTTCGGGAACAATGAATTTTAACTAGTTGACTATGTATTGCCATGCAATACTCTCAGAATTATGTGTTCACACTTGTTCTCTTTTCATTTCCTGATTCGCTTTTTAATTTTCATTTACTTTTTTGACTTTCATTTCCTTATGGACTTCCAATTCCTTATTCAATTTTCGACTTTCTTTTCCTTATTCGACTTTAATTTCCTAAATAGATTTCCATTTTTTAAGATTTTCTTTTCCTTAATAGATTTCAATTTCCTTATTAGACTTTGTCATTTGGGCTCGTTACAGCTGTCTTGGTGTTTGGTATAAGAATTTCTTACTTCTTAGAACTTAAAAACACACAGACATATTGCATATCGTTTGAAAGAGGAAAGTCTGTACAAAAATATGTAAGCCTCGATTTTCCATCCGCATTTTATATCAATGCGTGTGTCAATTGAATGCAAATCTACTTCTTTGAATGAAAGAATCGTATGCTTCCGAAGTTGACAGATCATTTTGCAACCAAAGGAATTATTATCAACCGATACGAGGACAAGCAGGTAAAATTTCAAATTTGTGACTTGCTTTGTGTTCTCATTTGGTTAAGTATTTTAATATTATATTATCATTTAAGGATAAATTGGTTTCATAAAAGTAGAACTCCGTTTATTTCTGGAATCAAATGTAATTGTGTTCAAATTTAGTCTGAGATTTCATAATACGTCGTTTCGTGCGGTCATTCAAGCGTTATTAACCAAGTACAAAATGCTGCCAGCACAGTTTGCTTTAATCCCACCCTACCCTTATTTACCCCACAATAAATATAAGAAAAAAATAGCTGCTGTGTTGTTTGAATTTTTCAGGTTTTGGGTTGGATGGATGCATTTACCATACAGAAATGTATTATATGTGACACAATGTGTGATATAGACGTACTGCCACTCGAACTGACAATTCAGAATGTCATATATACATGTACTGCCATTGAACGATCGCTTACTCCCTATATGCTAGAAGCGAGAAACCAAAAACAAAATATTTACATCTAACTTTTGAAACGCCAGCTTGTTGATTCGAATACATGTTTAATTAAAATATATTTTCAATGTTATTGACAGTTCATATTAGTTTTCAGCTCATCTGGCCCATGTGAGCTCATACCATCACTTTGCGTCCGTCGTCGTCTGTCGTCGTCCTTCGTCATCTGCAGTCGTCTATCGTCTGTCTGTTCAGCAAAGTAAGATGAAACAAAGAAGTCAATATGACCAAAATTGTCATTTGACTCCTTGAGGAGTTATTGCCCTTTAAAGATAATTTTACACAATTTGTTCAACATGTTTGCTAACATTTAAAAAATCTCATCTGAAACTACTGGGCCTAATACTTCCATACGCAAATTGAAAGTTCCTTAGGTATCTAGTTTATAAATTGTATCCAAAGTTTTGATCCACTAACAAACACGGCAGCCAGGGATAAAAATAGAACATACGGATCAAATGCATTTTTTTTTCTCAAAAACTAAAGCATTTAGAGCAACTCTATTAAGTAGTTAAATCATGCATAAGACCAAGGTCTACCTGTCCTGAAATTTTCAGCCAAATTGGGTAACCGATTTTAGGTTACTGCATATATAAATAAGAAGATGTGGTATTAGTGCCAATGAGACAATTCTCCATCCAAGTCACAATGTATAAAAAGTTAACAATTATAGGTCTAAGTACGGTTTTCAACACTAAGTCTTAGATCACACCGAACAGCAAGCTATAAAGGGCCCCAAAATGACCAGTGTAACACAATTCAAACTGAAAAACCAACAGTCTAATCTATTTACAAAACGAGAAACGAGAAAGACAATAACAATCAAACCAAGGAGTAAACAAAGACTCATAAAACCAAAAGACAT